AAAGAAGAAAAAAAAATAAGGTACTAATGGATGCCCTCTTTAGTTGCAATCTTAAAATTATTAAGTTAGTAATTATGTAAGTGATTGTAATGGTGGGATGTTAGAGATGGAGGTGGTAGGGGGTGGCGACAACGATGACAAGTAAAGATAGTGGTAGTAATAATAATTAGTGGTGGGAGGTGATGGTGATAGTGGTGATAAGATGAGTTGAAAAGCATTTTTCACATTAGGAAAGTAAAAAACTTTTTTATACAAATAATAATTTTTCTATGGACTTCAATTTTTCATCACATCAAACTTCATAAAATGTTAAAAATATTTTATCTAAACAAACAACACACATGTTGAAAATGTTTTTTTGTTTGTTGTCATTTGTTTCTGTCTTTATTTTTGGGCAAATTTCACTTCAAATTCTAGATTCAAACTCAAAACAGTTGAACATTTAGAACATTGTAATTAAAATGACAACAAACAAAAACAAATATTTTTGTTTGTTGTCATTTATATTTTTTATTTTTTGTCTTTTTATTTTTCGGCAAATTTCACTTTAAATTCTAAATTCAAACCCAAACAGTTGAAGAGCATTGTTATTAAAATGACGCCAAACAAAACAAACAGTTGTGAGAAACCATCATTATTGAACCTTCACAACATTGTTTTATTTGATTTGAGTTTAATCCTATATTTCACAAGTATAAATTGAATCCACTACAACAAAATAAGCCAAATTTACAAGAAAAAACCAATAATAAAACAATAGAATTTTTATTTCAAAAGTGTATATTTACCAGAAGGAAGCATATTTGCTTGTGGTTAAGAATCTACAACTTTCAATGAGCTCAAACAAAAAGAGTGGAGAATGATGTTTCGTTTGTTTGAGTAGAAAGTATTTTTTCTCTGAAAATCATGTTTTTTTATAAAAAAAAAATATTTTCCGCCAAAACAAAAAGTGTGTTAATGTGATTGTAGATAAAAATCCCGGTTCTTCTTAGCAAATGAGTAGTCGTATGCCCGAAGTAATCGCCTTTGAAACCTCACAAGATTCAACCTCACATTTTGATGATCAAGATAGATCTTCTTAGTGAATTCCCACCATTTCTTCCCCACATTGCTCGGATTAGTTAGAACCGGATCATTCTCGTCATACTCATCGAACAATGAGCTCTCCCTCGGAAGAATTTTGTAGCCAATGTACTTCAAACCGAGCTTTGTCGATGGTTCCCCCAAGGAAGTCTCTGAAGCCCATTCTGTTCCAAGTGGGATCACTTGGATCAACACCAACCCTAGTTTCATAAACAAAAAATGTGTCAAAGCGGCACCGTGGACACCAATTGTAACATCGCTTGAATTAAGCTCCCGGTAAATTCTCTCCAGCTCAAAAGTACAGACAGGCCTCAAAACCTCCACTTCAAATCCAATTTGTTCTGCCATTTTCACCAACAAATCCTCGTTAGCTATCGCTCTAGACTTTTGTCGCAATAAGATAACTAGTTTCGGTTTCTTCAATTCTATCCTTATTTCAAGTAACTTTTGTGATGAAGACGATGAAGAGAGATTATTCAATTTCGCTTCACGTTCCTCATCCTCAATTAGACCTTTGATTCGAGGCCAATAAGCATGGTCTAAAATGTTACGAAAATCTTTAGTAGTCTTACCCCCTTCCATCAACAAAGGATCGATAGTTAGATCATCATGGATTCTTAAACCAGCCATGGCTTCAGGGAAACAATGGGTTCTATTATCTCCACTAAAATCAATTGGTGGATAATCCGATAGAATCGAAAGGATATCACCATACTTAGTAAACCACCATTCATGATAATCAAGAATAACAAACACAACCCTCTTGTTGAAATGTTGTGAGGTGATTTACAAAGGCACAATCCCATCATTGAATTCATGGTAACTATTGTCGGTATATCCCCTAGTGGAGAAGAACACCGCGGGAACATCGTGCCATGCATCGCAATGACGGTGGGACCCGATTTTTCACTTTGAAACAAGGTGTAATTCACTAACAGTGTCCACAGTACTTTTCTCCCATTTTCGAATGTAGGGCTTAATGTTTTCATGTTGGAGTTCTTGTTCATCGTCTTCTTCGCCATCATAGGTGAGGTCAGGAACATAATCTATGAAGCCATTGGCGTTTGTTGAGGAGTAGAGGTAGATTGAAGAGGAGAGAGAGTCTGTTCTCACATTCCCTTTTATGATAAATATCGGATCGAATACTGTTTCTATCACAACATATTGCTCCTGAATTTAAAACATTAACAAAAATTTCCAAATTAGAACACAATGTTGAAAATGTAAAAACATTGCCAAAAAAAATACCCATTTCATTTCAGCTTGATTGAAAACAAAAATACATGATACAAAAAAACAAAAACTTAAGTCTCAGGAACAAAAGGGTATTGGCTATATCCATACCGCCATGATTAGAAGTTAAATCCCAAAAACAAATAAAAACAAAAGGAAAGGAAAAGAATCATTGGAGATTAATCAAATGACAAAATAAATAAATAAAAAATATATTGAGATTGAAGAAAAAAAAATGGTATTTTTCATGGATATTTTACATCAAGACAAAAGAAAAAATGAAAGAAAAATCATTGGAGATTGAAACAAGGAGGGTCATTTTTTTTTTTTAATCCATCACACTGTTACTTCACATTGTAGCACAAAAACTAATCATCTGAGATTGAGATCGGGGTATCTTTCACATGCATCTCACTATGTCTAAAAATATTTGAACTACCAAAAATAATAACAAATAAGTAATTAAAAAAAAAATAAACAGAGATTAATACCCATCTCAACATAATTGCATGTTGAAAATGTTGCCAAAATTGAAAATAATAATACAGATAGAGAAAGAAAGAACCAACCATTAGGTATTGAAGAGCAAAGTGGGGTATTTGCATTCATCTCAGAAAGAAGGCTTTGATCTTCATGTCCAAATGAATCTGAAAAAACTCAGAAGAGAGAGGGCATTAAGACCCAAAACAGGAAGAAATCAATGGAAGTAAAGGGAAACCATGAGAGAGAATGAAAAAGCTTTACATAAGAGAGAGAAGTCGGGGGGAAAGTTGAGGAACTGAGAGGCCAAAATCAAGCTGCAGGAGATTAGAGAGAGAATGAGGACAGAGAGAAGCCCGGGTCTCGTTCTCTTGTTGTATAAAATAGAGTTTCCACAGATTAAACCCACAAAGCTACTCTGTGACTCCTTATCTACAACAACCAACTCTAGACCCTTCTTCAGTGGATGATATCTCTGATAATGCACCATTGATAGAGACAAAATATTAACAAATAAAGAGAGAGATTCAGAATCAAATTAAGTATGAACAGAGAGAGAAGGAAATGAGCAAGTGAGTATTTGTGGTTTGTTTGAAAGGTGTTTTTGGGGTTGCTCTGTTTCTTCTTCGATGGATGTGTATATATAGAGAGAGAGAGAGAGAGAGAGAGAGTGTGTGTGTGTGTGTGTGTGACTAGCAGTCAAATTGCGTGTACTATTAAGCTGAGCAAAGCAGAGGATCCGGACTCGAGCAGAGCATAGCAAACCAGAGATGTGAGAGAGAGAGAGAGAGAATGAGAGGAGAAGTGGTAGCAAGTTGGAAGGCCATCTGGCATTTGCTTAGGTTTGGTGAGAGAGACACCTCGACGTAGGACCCAACCGAAGGTTCAGTTGGAGAGAGAGAGAGAGTAGCAACCCACACGCGCCTTTGTGCAGAGCTCACTGGGGCTAGCTCAGAGGAGATGACATTTTAGATTTTTAACCAAAGAGTTTTTCGGTATTTTGGTAAGCGATCGTGTTACGTAGCTCGAAAACGGGGAGCTCAAATGGCTCGATTTTTTTTTTTTCACAGAAGAAGAACGAAGACTAGGAAGAAGAAGGAAGAAAGAAGGAGGAGGACTGGAGGGGGCATAATATTCGGGGGAGGCGGAGGCGGAGGCGAAGCGACGGCGGTCGGAGGCTGCGGCGGGGCTGGGCTGGGCGACGATCGGCGAATCGGCAGCTGGGAGGGGTGACAATCGGCGGCTGGCTAGGGCGACGATCCTCTTCTCTCTCTCTCTCTTCCCCTCTGCTTCTCTCTTTCTCTCCCTCTGCTTCTCTCTGCGTCTTCTCCCTCGAGCCATTCGAGGCAAAATGTTTCGAGCTACGAAACATTTCTCTAATTAATATATATATCATTATGAGTCCCCTTAGCAGCTCGAATGTAAGGAGGCTCGAATGGCCCCATTTCTATGTACATCCCCAGATTCCTTGCACACCCCATCTCTGTTCAGCTATACCTTTCATTTCAAAAAAAAAAGAAAAAGAAATAACAAAGAGTAGAGAGAGAGGACAGAACTGGGTAAGAGAGACCAATTACAAAACCATGTTCAAGTTGCTCTTCCAACATTCAACACACATTTAAAATCAAATTTACAGACTTCACAACATTTACAGATTTATATAACACAGTTTTAACAGATTTATAACAGATTTTTGACAAAATTTTAACAGATTATTAACAGATTTACAGATTTTCCGTCCGTGTTTTGCTGTCGCAGGCCGTCGTTCGTTCTCCGTCGTCGTTCGTACTCCTTCCGCGATCAGAGAGCGCGATCGGAAGGTTTAATAGAGATGAGAGGTTACTGCGATCTCCTCACTCTCCACTCTCTGTTCTTTCCTTCTTTCTTTTTTTTTTTTTATTTATTTGAAATTAAAGGTCTGGTATGACCGAACAAAGCTGGGGTGTATAAGCAATCTAGGTGCACAGAATTTGTGGCTCAAACATTTTTCTATTTCATAAACGTGACACAGAGAGTAGGTTCTTGATGTGAATCCGTGTAGATTCCTCATGTGAATCCATATCATATGACCCCACTCATTGATAACTTATGTGTTTAATTATTTGTTCAGTTAAACTTATTGTTATTATTACATGGTGGGGATAATGACACGATTGGAAATATTAGATCCAGGCAATTTTCTTTTAAATGACATATTATGTCTATTCTATTTGTTTTTGTTCCTTCCTTCCTGTCATGCTGATATTGCTTTCATATGCTTCATTGTTTAACCCAGTTGATCATTGGTCTTAACATTATGAAACTTTACTCATTAAATGCCATCATTTATGGATACTTCTCTCTCTCTCTCTCTCTCTCTCTCTCTTTCTATACATATATATATATATATATTATTTTGTGTAGTTCTCTAAATCCAACATGTGTTTTCCTCTGCTCACCTAGATTATGAAAGTTTTGAGAAGCTAATTAAGCAATGTCATGAATTAAAACTGTTACAGTGACTTTCCTCTTTTATTTATTTTTCTATTCACTTCAGAATAGTTGCATATGGTCTGTCATTTTTTGGATGTTACAATTCACAATTTCATTGTCTTGGCTCTCAGGGCTGCTATGTATGCATCATTATTGGTTATTGTGAAGGAGGAGACATGTGAGTGACTTTTCTGGCTAAAACTGCAATACTTGGCTTAATCCATTTACTTGGGCTGAAACTTTACATGCAATCTATATGATGTCATCTTTTTTGCTACTTTGTCTTTTACAGGGCAGAAGCTATAAAGAAAGCAAATGGTGTTCTTTTTTCCGATGAGGTTGTTTTATATTTCTAGTATCTTAGCATCACATTTATATTGTTTCGTTTTCTTTTCTGTTGTCGCAATCTAGATTGTACTGCATTCTACCTCCCACCTCTGCAGTTTTCAATTTGTATCAGCTCACAATTTCTTTGTTCACTGATACATTGATGTTAAATTGTTTATAGAAGCTGTGTAAATAGCTTGTTCAATTGCTTATAGCTTGTTCAATTGTTTTCTTTCTTTAATAGTCTTGAGAGGTGTCAGTATTTTGCTGAATCACCATTGATTAATCCTGTTGCAGGTGATTTTGGACTTGCTAAGATGTTGCCATCAGATGATCTTGCATCCTCTGTAAGTCTTGTGGTTAACTGGTTCATTTTTCAAGTTTCAACATTTGCATTAGTTTTATTGTTCAAGATTTCTTTTTCGTAACTCAGGTTGTAGGAACTCCAAGTTATATGTGCCCTGAGCTTCTTGCTGACATACCTTATGGCTCTAAGTCAGACGTTTGGTCCTTGGGTAAGTGTATACACAAATGTCACATAAATACATATATAAGTTATAATGCAATCATGAATGCAAGTTGCAACTTGGCATATTTTTGATGCCTATGAAAATTTAGATTTTTCCTCGTGAGGAATTGTGTTCTTATTTGTATATTGTGGCCTTTAATTAGTGTCTTAATCTAATCCTTGCTCTATTTTTGTTTTCCAGTCAGGCCCTCATCAAAAGCATGCTGCGGAGAAAACCCAGAACTTCGGCCGAGTTTATTTCCTGTTCTTTATTCTTTTTTTTACACTTTCCGAAAATGTTTTACGTAGGAGAAACATTAATATAAGCATGCGAATGATTTGCCATTGCCTTAGATAATCTAAATGATTCCTAATTCATTAATTAGGACTCAGCTAGTTGTGTTTGTTCTAGCTAATATATTGCCATTCATAGTCATCGGCATAAGCCTTTTCTAGTAAGTTTCTCTAATAATTTTAAATCCCTGTAATGTATCTTCCAAAATTCGAAGCCAAGACATTTTTAAGGTACTTATTGGTTTTATGTTTCAATTGGATTTAACTTTTGTGGCTTTGTATATAAGGTAGTAATTTTTTGATTGAGAATTGTGAATTCAATTTTTGGATATGTTATTTTGTGGAAAAATTAATGCTATATTAAATTGAATGGGAAAGTGAATTAATACTATATTTGTTATTTGAATGGGAGTTATTATTTCATATTAGTGTTATTTAGTTTTATTATTGGTGTTCTTTTAGTTCAATCACATAAAATTAGCACAATTTCAAAACCAAAAAAAAAAAAAGAAAGATAAGACGGCGTTTTTCAAATGCCACTATAACGGTTGGAATTTTTAAAATTAAAAAAACCTATGAAGGCGTTTTAAAAACGTCGCTAAAATCATACTGACGTCACAGTATTGTTAGGGCAGGGCATTTGGCGGCGTTGCCTATACTAATACAGCGACGTTTTCCAAACGCCATAAAGTTATAGCGACGGCCGCGTCATCGGCGTTTGGTATTAAACGTCACAAAAAGAATTGACGACGTTTTTGGTACCTATAGCGGCGAAAAGCCTAATTTCCAGCAGTGCGAGCCTCAAATTGTCTCAAATTTAGATTTGTGAAGGCAAACAAATCCCTTGGGAGTCTTAACAGAGAGAGGACATATAATTGATTATATTTTGGGTCAAACGGTTAGAAGAATTGAAATCAAAAGAGAAGTCAACAAACACAAAAAATTTGATTTTGAAGTCATAAATGCTTTCTTGAGTGTAACGAGAAGGGAAAAACAAAAAAATAAAAATTTGTTAGGGATACTAATAATTTTATTAACACATTCATAAATTGACATAGTTCATATACTAAGTGATAGTTGATTTTATAAAAATTTGTGAGTGTGTTAGCACTACAAAAAATTAAAGTTTTAGAGACCAAAATTTAAGGACAAAATTAATTTTTAGGGACCAAATAATTTTATTGCGAAAAGTGTCAGTGTTATATTTCTAGCAACAAAAATTGAACATTAATACCAATGGGCACATAGCAGGGCCCAACCACGAGGATCCGATGGGCAACCACGAGGGTCCGATGGGAAATCAAGGCTCAGTCCACATTCTTGTGATCTAAGCCCAATAACATCAATATTAGGCCAGGACCAATAACATTAACACTTGCCAAACAGGAGACTAGACACATAAGCAGACAAAGATCCTACAAAGTTATTGCACCACACATCAGTCATTAATGAGGCTTTCACAGCATTAAATGCGACAACCTCCTCACATCGGAATATACAGACTCACCATGAACAATGCAAGCTAGAACGTAGACTTTCGGCCAACACGACAAGCTGGAATGGACACAGAAATAATGAGCAAAGGATATAAGGAAGTTTCCGAGACACATCAAAGGTTAAGTTTCTTTATTTTTTCCTCTTCTCTCTCTCTCTACACAGTCAATCTCTCCTATTCTAACTTGATCGTCGACTGTCTTCGGGGGGATTACCTCCCCCTTTGCAGGGGTTCTCCACAGACTTCAGGATCAGTAGACCTGTTGGAAGCTTAGTCCAGCCCAACCCATCTCCCGTCAGAAAAAGAGTTACATCAGTTGGCGCCGTTTGTGTGAATCTTCATTTCGAAAAGATAGTTGTGTTCATTATCGCCGGAAGGAACCCCATCTTCATCCTACATCAAAGTGGATGGTCATGACTAGATCCATGGCTTCCCAACACAATGCTGGTAACCCCGAAGCTGAGCCCTCCAACCCAAATAACCTGCCTCCATATTTCGCAGAACTCACCAATAGCATCAATTGACTGACTGAACAGAACCAAGCCTTGATCAATGCTCTACCCCATCGTGACCTGCTTATCCGATCTCCACCACAGCCAATGGTTCCCCCGCACCCAGAATAAGCCCATCATCACCATCAATTCCCACCACACGTATCTTAAGGAACCTTTCCACCATTCGCCCCACTAGATCCTCAACCTTTCCACCCTCGCCAAGATATACCACCGCCCTTCCACAACCACCCTTTACCACACCATACGGCCGCCCATGAGGGTGAGGCTAGCAGTTTCCAACCCCCGATCCCTGTCTGTGGGGATAATGCTCCCATCTGGGATAAAGAATTGCGGGCCATGAAACTTCAACTACAGGGGGTCATGCAGAACATGCAACACAAGACTTCTTCTACCATCAACTCTCCTTTCACTACCTCTATTCGGGATAAAGCTCTCCCTTCTAAGTTCAAGATGTCGTCGATCGACACTTTTGATGGTACCACAGACCCCGTCAACCATGTAGAAGCATACCCGACACTCATGATCTTACACGTCTTTCTAGACGAAATCATGTGTCGCGCTTTCCCTATCACGCTAAAAGGGTCGGCACACCTTTGGTTCAGTCAACTCCCTCTAGACTCAGTTACTTCATTTCGCCAGCTCAACAAATCCTTCCTAAGCCATTTCATCGATACTCAGCGACAATGACATCCAGTTACCTAACTGCTAAACATCCGGTAGACGGAGGGGGAGTCGTTACGCAGCTATGTCACCAGCTTCAACACTAAAGGCCTCCAAGTGGAGGAAAACGATGACATGGTCATTCTCACAGCCTTGATAGCCAGTTTATGCCCATCCAATTTCCTTTTCTCCCTCTCCAAAAATCCCCCAACCACCATGGCCTCCCTTCTTACCAAAGTCCAAAAATACATGAACGCCGAAGACTTCCTGGCAGATCGCCAAGACTCCACATCCAAAATCCCACCCTCCAAGGACAAAAAGAAAAGCGCCTGAGTCACAACCCTCACAATACACATAACAACCCTCATCACACCCAGATCGGCCTGCATGCTCGGACCGACCGCCACCAACTCGCCCACTTGGTCGATTCGATCGATACACCCTCCTCAACTCACCCATGGAACAAGTCTTGAACCAAATTCAACGAGACTATAACCTAAAATGGCCTTAACCATCCAAATCTCTATCCACCAGACAAGATCAATCCAAGTATTGTCGCTTCTATCAAGACCACGGCCACAACACTGACGAATGTGTCAACCTCAAAGATCAAGTTGAGGATTTGGTCCGTCAGGGGCGCTTCAGTCGATTCACCTCAGCCCGTTCCCCCACAAAGGCCTAGAACTAGCCTCTCAAACCATAACCGCCAACACACCCCCCAACGACCAACACAACCCGAGCAGAATAATGACCAGCCTCAACACTAACCCTGAGCTCACGGCGACGCCCCCCTATTAGACGAAATATGGGTAATCGTTGGCACCCTCGCATGCGGATGATCGTCCCGATTGGCACAGCAAGCTGAGCTCCGAAAAATCGACAAGGATCCGATAAAGAAGTGGCCACAGTGGATCGGTTCAACAAACAACCAAGCAATGGTCCGAGTCGATCATCTTTACAGTGGCAGACTGCACAGGCGTTCGCTATCCTTATAACGAGCCCCTGGTCATCTCCGTTCTGTTGTCAAACTATAAAGTCAGAAGAGTTCTAGTCGACAACGGCAGCTCCTCAGACATCATCTTCCTCAACGCCTACCGCCAACTAAAGGTCGGCGAAGAGAAGTTATCACCTCTACAAACCCCTCTGGTGGGTTTTACCGGCGATTGGGTCACATCCATGGGGTCCATCGACCTCTCCATCACCATCGAAGAGTACCCACGACAGCCCACCAAACTCCTAACTTTCCTTGTCGTCGATTGTCCTTCTGCTTACAACATCATATTAGGGCACACCGCTCTCGAAGCCGTAACCTCCATGTACCATCTGGCCATGAAGTTTCCCACTGACCAGGGGGTTGGCACTGTCAGGGGTGAACAGACGATAGCCCGGGAGTGCTATGTCGCCTCATTAAAGGAAGTCAAATTGCAAGAAGCTATGATCATTGAGGGCCTCAATGTTAAAGATGAGGAAGAGTTAGTAAGAGGGGAACCAGTGGAGGAGCTCATCGAAGTATCTGTCGATCCTATTGACTCAACAAAAATGGTTAAGATTGGCAGCCAGCTGTCCTCTCAGGCCAAGGCCGATCTCACAGCTCTCATTGCCGAACACAATGATGTCTTCGCTTGGACCCATTCTGACATGCCAGCTATTGACCCGTCCTTTATTACCCATCATCTTAGTATTGAACCACATTTTTGACCATTCTGACAAAAGCAACGTATCTTTCACCCAAAACGTAACAGTCTCATCACCGCTGAGGTTGACAAATTGTTAAAGGCAAAGTTCATCAGAAATGTGGACTATTCCAGATGGTTGTCCAATGTGGTCGTGGTCCGCAAAAACAACGGCAAATGGCAACTTTGCGTCGACTATTCCGACCTCAACCGAGCCTACCCCAAAGACAGGTACCCTCTTCCCAGGATAGATCTATTGGTCGACACAACTACGGGGCACCAGATGCTTGGCTTTATGGATGCTTTCTCTGGCTATAATCAGATCTTGATGCACGTCGCCGACCAAGAACACACCTCTTTCATCACTGACGAGGGGACTTATCGCTACCACGTCATGCCATTCGGTTTGAAGAATGCAAGCACCATTTACCAACGCAAAGTCAATGCTATCTTCCAACACCAAATAGGTCGAAACATGGAGGTCTATGTCGATGACATGCTCGTCAAGAGAAAACTCTCCTCCGACCACTTGACAGACCTACACGAGACTTACCAAACTTTATGCAAATATCAAATGAAACTGAACCCAGAAAAATGTGCCTTCGGTGTTGGATCTGGTAAGTTTTTAGGGTTCATGGTCAGCCAGAGAGGCATTGAAGCCAACCCAGAAAAGATCAAGGCCCTGATAAAAATGCGGTCTTCCAGGACGGTCAAAGAAGTTCAATGGCTAATAGGCAGAGTTGCTGCGCTCAACCGTTTCATTTTGCGAGCGGCTGACAAATGTTTTCTATTCTTCGAAGTCCTTCGGCAGGACTTCGAATGGAACACGGAGTCTTAGAAAGCCTTCCAATAACTAAAACAATGCATGGCCAACCCCCCTCTCCTCTTCCAAGCACTGCCAGCTGTAGACGTCCCCGAACGTCCCGGGAGGAAAATCCCCCCCGTTTTGTTCATATGGGCTTACTACAGTTCA